CACCTCTACAACAGTTTCTTAAAGTTGTTTGCTGTTTACTGACAAAAAGTACAGCTTCTAAGAGCTTTTGATTGTTTTCACCTCTCTGTGCTTTCTCTTCTATCTTCTTTCCCCTCACTCTCAACTATTTGCAGCAGCCCTGTGTATGGTTCTCCTTATAGGGGAGTTCTTCCTCTCTACCACAAAGGTAACGGTGCTGCAATATACAGTTCCTTGAGAAATGCTGATTAAGTAAAACTGAATTTTGCTACAATTTTGTATCTGGGAATTCAAGTTTGATTTAAAACAGTTGTGCAGACGAGAATGACTGTGAATCTCAACTCTTTTCAAAGTCTGGAAAATAAGGAAAAATGTACTGCTATAAATTATCAACAGAGTGCAGTTTGATTATGTCACCACTAGATAGTAGTATATGCAATCACAAGTACTGATACACACTCACACATAGTCACAGACAGTCATGTGATAGCAGAACAAAGAGTCCATAGGTCGACTCTAATCTGGATTTGAAAAGATCAACATTTCAAACAAAGGCAGTGAGTGTTTCTCTGTGTAAGCAATTCTGAGTGCGCCTGGGTGTTAGTTTTTTCCACACTGACTTCACTTTCCAGACTGAGAGCCTATTTTTCACTATGACCCATGATGCTTATTTAAACTATTCATGTATGTTGTGGTTAACATATTTAGTGTTTTGCTGTGATGGTTGAAAGGTCTTGCTTTTTCCTTGCCTGCTAGTCTGCTAGGGTCTGAGGGACATAAATTTCATTACTGTATGGTGAGTGCGAGCGTCCATGCAGAGGTCTGTGTGACAGCCAGTTTTTCTTGACTGTGGACTAATCCATGGAGACTTTAAATTACAATGCACAACTGTGCGTTGGCCTGTATAACAGGAATGACTCAACAGACTGTGTCCATGTCCATGACAGAGTATAATCAAGGCTTAAGAGCCCTCTTTCAGCAGAATGAAACCTCAGGCAAAGCCAGGCTCAGGGAGGGGGAGTGATCTACCATGACTGGTTGGGGGCTGAGAAGAAAAACAAAATGCTGCTTTTATTGCAGGGATATTGGAAAATGTGGTACTATGAAGTCTATAAGAAACAACGTGGCCTGATTATCAGGACTGCATATGTGAGAAAATGATTTTAAATTCAATTCTGGATTTAACAAGAAGCAGGTAACTAGAAGGTGATTTGGGAGAAACATGATCTCTTTTCTAGTTTCTGTTAACACTCAATGTGATGTGGTGGATCAACTGAAGATGAACGAAAGCATAAGAGAACATTATATTTATTTACACACATCCATATCCTGGTCAATAATGATTCCAAAATTTCCCAAGTGTTACTGGAGGCCACGGTAATGCTGTCTCTTATAACTATACCATTAGACAGCGTGATTAATTTTTTCATGAATTTAGAAGTGGAAAACTCAATCTCATCCAGACTTCTATGAGTTTAAGACATAGCTGCGTGGATACTATTCACACAGACTTTGTGAATGGTCACAGTGGAAGTCGATCACTAACCTTTCAGTGTGAGAAAAACTCACATTAACAAATTGAAATCAATCATGTATCTAAAATGGTAAAATGGCCCATTTAGTCATTAAGTGTGTATGATTACTGATGTCAAAGCAGATATGTGTAACGCACCCCGACAGTCTTTGGTGTGCACAGCATCTCCATAGTACCCAGGCCGACACAACTCGCAGTGTCTCCCTGCTGTGTTTCCGAGGCAACGCAAGCATTCCCCGCTGACAGTATCGCAGTGTCCTGCCTCACTGATGTCCACATTACCGTTACACTCACAGCGAACGCAGGTCCCACCCACTACCTGTGGGTTCCCATAGAAACCACTAGCACACCTGAAGACACAAACCCATGTGTTATGCTGGGTTATCAGTTTATCATTGGGTTGATCGGCTTCTCAATCATACTTACTTCTCACAGTTGGTTCCAGTGTACCCATCCTGACACTGGTCACACAGTACCTTTCCAGATGCATCCAACACACAAGTGGGACTGAACCTAGGGCACAGAGGTGTTCTTACATACTGCCTGTACTAATAAACTTTAATTGTTTGAATGAGGTCCAATGACAAAGACAAACCTGTTGGATGGTTTCGTTAGAGGGCATGGACACAACTGGCAGTCATCTGTTGTTCCCTCTGTGGCATCACCATAGAAACCCAGAAGACACTGATCACAATGAGGGCCAGTGGTGTTGTGGGTACAGCCCTGAGAAAAGTTAGACGGACGAATCAGTAAAAGGTCAGAGAGAGATGACCACAGGGACAGGGAATGAACCATGTGTCAGAACAGCAGGTGAGAAAACTGTTTCTGATTGTTCTGATTGTGACGTGACTCACCACACAAACTCCATTGATGTCACACTCAGCGGCATGATCATTGCATTCACACTGCATACAGTTTCCTCCAAACAAGATTCCACCCACTCTGTAGAAACCTGGTAGGCACGACTAAAACACAAAAATGCACAAACAATTAGGTATTGAACTGATATTACTAAGGATGCACTCCAATTTCACTTTGTCACATACACAGTACAACATGTAATGAGATGCTTGTGTCCCAGCTGCACATAGGCTGCAGACGTAGCCGCGCCATTCCAGGGCTTGGTTTTAGCATGGGGGGGTCTAGCCACGACCCTTATTGGATGCTGGTGGGAACTGTAGTCTTACCACTACACTACCCAGCTGCTGCACTTCAAACTTATTCTGGGCTTAACTGATTAGCAAACAATAAAAACATAGCCCTCACCTGTCCTTGAATTGAGAATTTCATTTAAGGGGCTGAGTCTAAAATAGTGCAAACTCCTCTGTGGTAAGATACTATTTTTTTTTTTTTTTTTTTTAATTCTGTCCCTTGAATGTTGAAAGTCTGCATTTCAATAGCATCCAAAATTATGAAAAATAGTTTCAGTCTTAAATAAATTACCTCACAGGAAGTGCCACTGTAACCCCACGGGCATTCACATCTCTCCACAGCAAGTGCTTGAACCTCAGAATGCGAGCTAGCGTCACCGATGTCCAGAGAGACGGAGCTGAGGCTGTGATAGACAGAGACAGTCAATATTCCATCTTCAGCAGTGTTCATACTGATGTTGGGCTCCTCCTGCAGAATTGTGCTGGGGAGATGACTCGGTATGACTCAAGCTTCAGGTTAAGTGAATCTCAGCCTTGCTATCTGAGTCTTTTTAATCTCCAACTCAGCCTTAGATAAGTGATTTGACCATATGTTATCATTTACTTTTCCTCACCGTATCGTTCCGGTGGCGGAGGTATTCAGGTAAACTCTGACAACCAGTGACGTCACATCGGCAAGAACCAATAGCAGGTCATCTCGGGTAACATGCCTGCCTGTTTGGTCATAGGCAAATTGCTGCCAGACCATTGGCACGTTAACCAATTGCTCAGCCAGTGTAGAGAGGGATAGTGGGAGAAGACGTGAAAGACGAAGAGCCAAACCATTACCCTGAGAATGAGAGAGTTTCTTCAGTCTGGATGTTGAAGCCCTTCAAGAGACCACTGCTACATTTTCAATATAAAACATGCACTGTGAAAATGTAGATGGTGTCTGATAACAACACAACATACCAATCTAGAGAAATCAAAATAGTGATCTAATCACATGTTTGTTCTCACCTTGATAATGATGTCACAGTGGGCGGACAGGGTGGGGTTTTCAAAGTCAAGTGGAGCATCATAAACCACAAAGTAGTTCAGGAAACCTCCATAAGACAACAGCTACAGACAGAGAGAAGTCAGAAAGTAGATGGAGAGACTGGCATGTGTTTGGCATAATGAGCAAATATGGAAATGGTAGCTTACCTTGTTGCCAAGGAAACTTTGGGGTGCTGCCCACCACAGCATTTGTTGGTGGGTGGCACCAGAGGAAATGTTGCTATGAATGGGTATCTCATTGCTGTGAAGTACAGGGGTGGTGGTGATTGTTTCAGAGGGGAAGAGCAAAGCTTCTGTAGTAACCACCTGAAAAAAACAACCCCAACATAATTAGAGGTTCTTCATGATGTAGGCATGCAATATGGTGCTGTTACCTGAACACAGGTATTTTTTACCTGCCCTATGGACAAGCCAGAGCTCTCGCAGACATCAGACACACCAAAGCAGAAGCAGCTGGTACATCCGAGAGGATTGCTCTCCTGGAGGTTAAAAAAACCTGGCTTGCACAGATCACAGTGAGCTCCCATCACATTCTCCTGAGGATGAGAGAACAGGTAAGGTTAGGGACCAGGTGAAACACCAGAAAGCAGGTCAGATATTGAAGAGCAGGTGGTGTTTACCTTGCAGATGCAGGGGCTGCATGGGTCAGTGTTGATGCTGCCTGACAGGCTACACTCACAGCGAAAACACTGAGGAAAATCTCTGTATCCAAACGCACAACGGTCACACTGTTGACCTGCAAACCCCTCCTTACACATGCACTGACCTGCAAGCAAACCTAAATGCGCGCACACACACACACACACACATCCAAGAAATATAGTTATACTGCAAAAAACTGCTGGAGAACAACAATACTACCGCTACTACTACTAATAATAATAAAAATATACTAACCTGGCTGTGTGTTGTCTCTGGCGCAGACTGAAGACTTTGAGCCTCTCAGATCACATTTACATTCAACACATGGAAAGTCAGAATATGGAGAAACCTACACACACACACACACACACACACACACACACACACACACACACACACACACACACACAGATCATGCAGAGAGACATTCTGAGTCAGGATCTCCAGATATAATTTTACTTGTGTCAATACTTTAGCAACTCTGTGGTATAAATTGCTGCATTATGTCCATAACCTTAGCCATTCGTAATATTGTGTCAGTACCTCAGCAGGTCTGAAGTATCCATCTTTGCAGGTCTCACAGTTGATGCCAGCTGTGTTTTGCTGACAGTTAAAACAAACTCCACCTCCCTGACGAACACCGTGAGTGTTTAAACTCAAAGAGAGTTCAGAGATGGTTTGATTGTAGTAACAGTCGTCTGCTTTATTGTGACAGTTACATTCTGAGAGACAAACAGAGACAGGTTAACAAATAGCACACAAAGAAATGGTACTCCGTGTGTTTAAGGGTGTTTCTTACTTTCACACGTGTTTCCATCGGAGATGGTCCCTGGTTGCCATGGCTGCTGATGGTAACCTGGGCAGCATTCGTTACAGCTTACTCCAGAAGTATGGAGATCACATACAGAATGAAGCTACTGTGCCCACATGCACACACACACACACACACACACACACACACACACACACACATTTCACCTGGTGAAACACTTTACATATGTTCCAATATACAGATGCTCGGGCGTTTGCCGTTACCTTGCTAACAGGGTCAAGTGGGCAGCTCTGAGCGTGTCCATAGCAGATACACATCCCACCCACAGAGATGTCTTTGATGGAATAATAATACTGAGAAACACGGTAACACAAAAGGTATCAGAAAGTACAAGTCAGTTTATTGGTCAAAGATCAACTGTTTGCAGCCTATCTCACCCTCCGAGTGACAATAGGGTCAATATCTCGAGGATCGCGAGCACTCAGGGTCATCAGGTCGGCATTCAGTGTTCGGATTCGCTGAAGTCTCAGTCTGATGTAACGCGCCGACGTAAAATTCAGCAGATCTGAGGTTAAATCATCGGCTCCAGGTCGGCCATTAATTAGGGAGGTATGGATCTGAGAGACAGAAAGAGGCACAAGGAGAAGAAGAAAGGTCAAAGATGGACAGACGCTAAACAGAAAGGGAGACAGATAACATGAGCATAGCAAGTGCAAGCCTCACCTCTCCATGCTCTAGTGGGTTTAATCTGGAATAATAAGATGTACAGATGACCTCTGTATCCCTCTTATAGGTTGGTGGTCCCAGTCGTGGTGTGATGTTGTAGCGATATAAACACTCAGAGTCACTGATGGCATAAAATTGCCAGGGCTCAAAGGAAACTCCATCCAGAGACCGCTCAAGGATCCAATTACCTGAGAAACAGACAGATCAGAATAGCAAACATGGAACGATGTCTTAAATATTTACTCTGTGATTGTGTCTGAGGTACAAAGGCAGATAAACAGGCAGTACATGGGCCAGTCTCACCTGCTCGAGGAGAATTAGCAGCCTTGATAATGATGTACGCGATCTGAAAAACCTGGACAGCACAAAAGTTCAAAGTTACTCAAAGACTTTGAGTAAAGAACAGAGGATACTGGCACTGTTCATCTGGTTAATGTGTTCCTCTGTGCTTTTATTGTCCTCTCTGGTCATGAAAAGAAAAACAAAACTTTCATTTTTCACATTTTATTCATAAAGCACCATTTGACATCAACAGTCGCCTTTAGGTGCTTTATTTTACAAGGTGGATATTAGAAAGAAAGAAAAACCCCTATAAGCATGCACTTGGTGACAGTAGGAAGGAAAAACTCCCTGTTCACAGGAAGAACCAGGCTCAGGGAGGGGCAGCCACCAGCCACAACCAGTTAGGAGTAAAGGGAAAGAAAAGATGATGCCATAAAGTAAATACAAAATGCAGCTGTTAAAGCCATATAAAGCTATCCAAAGCTCCCTCCCTCCAACACCTGTACGACTCGCCCTAATTGATGGAAGAACACATTTTGCTCTCTACCAGAAAAGGAACATGTCAAGTGTGCATGGCTTACACTGATGATGACGAGTCAACTGTTTGAGTAAAGAAAGGTCATAAATTCGTCTATAGTTGGTGAATTAGCTTTTTAAGTAATGCTTTAATTACTGACACCTTAAAACCCCTTTGTATGGAGCTCGTTAATAATAATATTAATCATATTTAAAACTGAGGTATTAATTAATGGGGTCTCAACGGCACACTGATTGTTTAGAAGAATACATTATTGAAGTTAACTCGGAAAGATTGATTGGACAGAAGGAGTCTAAGTAGATATCAGTAGATATTAGAGATGCTGTCCTTGATATTTTTCCTCTAATGGTTGCATTTTTATCTGTGATCATTCTTTATGTTTTAGTCTGTGTGGGTCTTACTTGTGTTTGTGTTTGTGTTACCTGTTTCAAATCCAGTGTGATGGTAATCCAGTGAAACTGTTGTCCATTCTTGATACTTGGACTTTGCCACCACCGATTGGTTCCATCAATAGCATTTGTGATTGGATGACGTTCTGCACACAGAGATGACTACTGTAGTAGTGCACTGGAATTTCATAGCTAAGTGCAAATGGTACTTTACTGATGCTGCAAAATGTTTAATTTGAAGGTAAAATGTGAATTCATTTGGATAATTTGAAGTGATCTGTGTGATTCTGGTTCTGGATTAAAGCAAACTGGATCTTTGATGTAAAGAAGAATCTGGAGTCTTGTCTCGTACCTCTGGACAGAACGGAGTTGGCATCACATTTGAGACAGTGTGGGTTCTTTATCCTCCGTCCTGGAACGTGCTCCACCAGCTTGCAGTAGACTTCAGGTTCTGGGTCTCCACATGTTGCATTACTGCTGATTACTGCATTACTGGCCAGATTCAATATGGCAGGAAACAGACCTGTAGTACAGTTACATTAGAATGATATAAGGGGAGACATTAGTGATCTGATGAGTGAATGAATAGATTAGTTCAGGTCTTTTTACAGGTATGCTCTCAGATGAGTCACCGTCTAAAACCTCGGTGTTACTCTTGTGAGATCTGACTTGTTTTTGTAATAAAAAGACAATTCTGAATGTTTACTCTATAACCTTTATTTTGAAACCTCCTCACATAACAGCAGAATATTTGCATCTTTAGGTGAGCAGTCTCAATGGATACTCAGTGATTACATCTCCAGGCCTCAAAGCCTAAATATATTGGAGCCATAAACAAGTAAAGTCTCTCAGACACTACTGAAACCCATCTACCCCCACAGCCTACCACCTCACCAATCACACAGACACACACAGTCTATTGACTCAGCTGCAGTTTCCCACTGAGATTCTCACTGTGTTGGTTAAAAATCTGAATTTAAGAACCATGGGACTCTGAAACAGTGTGCATAGGTTTTTAGTATTGAACAAAACAAACACATGAACCAACATGTGTTTGTTTTTTGAAAATCAATCTGGGTCAGAGGTCAAAGGTTGATCTGTTTCTTTTCTGAGTGACTCATTCTTCAATATATTTTAGTATATACACACACACACACACACACACACACACACACACATATACATATATATATATA